ATATATATGTGTGTGTTTTAAGAAAAAGCCATTTTTTAAATTTGGTCTTGGCTTCACTCAGACTAAATTTTAGCTTGCTTATCTGGTCAGAAATAAAACTCCATGACTTCAAACTGAGCTGTGTGGTTCACAAACCCACAAAATGTTTGTGGCAAAGGCTTGCGATCCCATTTATTGCAAGTTTTTATGTATACAAACCCTGCTGATAACCCCATTAAACAAATAAAGAAAACCTCCATATAATTTAAATAGTTTTTGATTACTGATTTTGTTTTCTTTCCAGTTGTTGTGGAAAAACTGATTATTAAATGTAAGTTTATATCTGGTGATTCACTTAGGACCCCAACTTGGCATTTTATGACCCACAGTGGGATCCTGACTCCAACTTTCAGAACTACTCATTTAAAATGTGAAGTCTTCGTGAAAATTCAACAGATTCCCACTTCAAAAGAACCATTTACACATTTTTTAATAAACAATGCAAAAAACTTATTAGCTTAAACGCTTTTTAGGCTTATTCCCGTCTTTGGCGCTGAACGGCGGGAGGTTTGTGCTTTGCTGGACATTCCTCGAGCTTCTGCCCTCGGTGAGGAATGTGATTGTCAGGGGCAGTCAGTGTTGCTAAAGTGGTTTGGGTGTTCCTTTTCAGTCATTTCACTCAGTACAACACACAGTTGTATGTRGGACACGCACGCCCTCGCGCGCCTGGCTGAAACCACCTCTAATTACGTCTTTGGACCGGTGACGTGGTGACGTTGAACGTCGGGTGACAGGCTCCGCCTTCACCCTATAAGTTCGGAGTCACCAGCGTCATTACTCAGTTCTATCGCCCTTCACCTCGCGGTAGTCACCTCTAAACCTGAGCTCACATAGCTGCTGCTAGTTAGCTCAGCTTCTAGGTTCATGTGTCTGCCGCTCGACGCTACTTAAGTGACCTTTATTTTCTGCTGAAAATCTGTTTTRTGGTTCACGATGAGCACAAAACCACCTTCGAAGAAGCCGAAGTCTTCTGTTCGCCCTGGTCCTCAAGGGTGCAGCTTTAAGCTTCATGAGAACGACCAGCATGAGGCCTGCCCGGCCTGCCTAGGAATCATTCACTCTCGACGGGCGCTTGTGGAGCCCGAGTCCTGCCGGGCCTGTGCCGGACTTTCGCGTCCGACACTGGAGAGGAGAGTGAAATTCCTGGAGAAAATGCTGGGGGAAACTGCTGTTTTCCGACAAGACCCGCTGCTCTCTGAATCTAGCCAGACGGCTCAGTCCGACCAAGACGAGGATTTGGAGGTTGAAGCCCCCGCTGCTCGCTGGGCGGACCAGATGGAGCACGAGGCGGCCTCACCCGACATCGAGGGGGGCGAGACCCAGTTTCTACTGGATCTAAACCAAGAGGAGGACGATGTTCTGCAGATGGAGCAGGAGGTTCTCAGTCTGTCCGAAGACGACRAGGAGCCGTGCCCAGCTCACTCCACCCCCGCTGCTGAGGGTGGACCAGGATTCATCCTTCTTGTCCCTGTRCTGCCAAGCTGCTGCTAAACTGGAGGTACAGTGGCCCGACCCCCCCACCTGCTCAAAAGCCATCAAGGTTCGCAGGGTTTTATCTCTGTCTGAACCTGCTGATGTGAAGCATCGTCTGCCTATGTTTCCGGACTTTGTGTCGTAGCTGACGTCTTCCTGGAGCAAACCGCTGTCCATCCGCGCCTTCGTGCCCAGACAGTGTCAGTACTTGGAYGTGGAAGGGGCAGAYCAAGCAGGCCTGGTAGGCATYCCTTCGATGGAGCCTTCTTTAGCCGCTTATTTGGCTCCGTCTCACAACCAGGGTGTAAGCGGGCCCACCCTGCTCTCTTCCAAGCCCTGCAGATTATCTTTGGCACAGCTGGAGAAAATCTACAAAGCCCAAGGTAACACCGTCCATGCGCTGAGCTCTGTCACCATGCTTCAGACCTACCAGGCCATGGCCTTGGCTGAACTGGCAGCTCAGATGCTGCAGGAAAAACACCTTTTACCCCTGCTGAACAAGATCAGACTGGCGTCAGACCACATCCTGCGTGTGTCCTGCTGTGCAGCGCTGGCTCTGGGGAAAGGAATGGCTTCTACTGTGGTGGCGCAGAGACACCTATGGCTAACGCTCTCAGACGTTCCTGACAAGGACAGAGCGGCCTACTTGGATGAACCTGTAACTCCTACAGGAC